CCGTGTACGATGGCCAAGAACGGATGTAAATGTAAATTTTTTTGACGGGGAGGGGGTGTAGGCGAAGGAATGTCGCAAGTGCAAAAAAAACTCATATAAAATAAACATTATTTATTAAGTTTTATTTTAAATACTTTTGCATTCAAGTTTTATTCTGTCAAGTTTTATATATATGATTTGATATCTATTAAGGCAATTAATAAATGCAATTTTGTTATTGAAAAATGTATAGTTTGACTTAGGCTGGCCAAATTGGTAAAGGGACAAAGGACTAAGAAAACGACGATGGCAGCCGAAAGTTCAAACCCCGTACGGACTTCACTGGTAAAAATTTAAAAAACCTTTTACGTCAAAAAATGCTCCTTAATGATTAAAAGGTGTGCACAAAATTTCATAAAATTATCTAAAATGATAAGAAAATTTTGATAAAAAAATATGTTGGTATTAGGTTAGGTTGAAAATGAGTGGGATGATCTCATAGCCCTCCACCGCGACCCATATAGGTCTATTGTGGCTCATAACTAACTTATAGTTCACCGTACAAGCCACACCTTTTGATGAAGGTCATGGTTGAATTGGGTGAGACTTCTCTAAAGTCGGTAGGCTCCAGTCGGGTAAATCCGAAGATCTGGAACCTGGTTCTTTCCAGAGCGGAGCAGGTACATAGAATGTGCTCTGCAGACTCGTCCTCCACGCTGCATAATCGACAGTCCGATGTTTGTTGCAGACCTATCCTTCTCATGTGGTTGCCCAGACGGCAGTGTCCTGTCATCAGTCCAGTGAAAATGCGTAGATCTCTCCTACTCCATTCTCGGATCTGAGCAGAGGCGTTCATGGAAGGGTTGTTTATAAACGCCTTCGAATGGGTTAGCCCTGGGGTATCTCTCCAGTTCGTGAGTGTTGCACCCTCCGTCCATTTTGAGATAATTCCTTTGGCAGTGTTTTTTGCAATGCCCAGGAATAGTTCTGGTCCTATGAACACAGATTCGATTTCTCTTTTAGCAAGTGCGTCGGCTTTTTCGTTGCCCTCCACACCACTGTGTCCCGGAACCCAGATCAAAGTAACTTTGTTCCGGGCACCGAGACACTCTAGGGTATTTATACAGTTCCAAACCAGCTTTTAGTCAACTCGATTGGAGCTCAGGGCCTTAAGGGCTGTCTGGCTATCTGAAAAGATCTTTATAGTCTTGTTTGCGGGGAGAAAATTGATCAACTCTCTCGCTCCCAATTCTCTAGCAATCATTTTTGCTTGGAAGATCGTGGCCAGAGAGCCTAGGTTTATTGATATGTCAACTCTAGGCCTTTAAGTTTAGTAGTATTTTGACGTCCATCTTAGGTCATTATTTAATTAGCTCACCAAATAATGCCCATCTACTTACACTTTTTTTTAATATAATTGGTCATTACAAATTGAATCTATTGCATTTGTAGAACGATAATGGACGTGGCGTGAGTTCGATCACTGCTCAAGTCAAGCCAGTTTTAATTTAAAAAAATGGAATGGCGTATAGCGGATTACAAAAATAATAAATAAATTATTATTAATATAAAATAGTGTGTGTGGTGAGTTGCGGTTGTGTAAAAAAAGTGGGGATGTGGTCTCAATGAAATATAACTCAGGAATGGACGTTTTTTAAATGTCTAGTATTCAACGTCCAAATATAATCCAGAATTGGACGTCCTCTAAATGATCAAAAGTTTGCGATTTGTATACTTCACTGGACGTCCATTGGATGTCAAAAGTCCAGAAAAATCTCATTTTTGGATGTCGAATATGGTCCAATATGGTTCTATTTGTGCTGTCTGGGTAGAACCAGGTACTCTGAAAGTTTGGGTATACCTACACCCAAGCATCTTCTAGGCGGTAACTCACGCCATTGAGAAGAGTATGCAGTTCAACATTGAGAAAACTTAGACAATAGAGGTGTCTAGAAAAATTGAATGAGCTAGGCGAGCAAAATTGAGTTTACTCTCACTTGGATCCAGTGACATAATGGGGTAAATGGTAACGAGATTGTTGATAATTTCACAAGGACAAATATCCTTTGTACGGCTGGAGCCGTTTTGCAGTATCAGCAGTAACAATATTAGGAGATATTAAGAATGAATTGGACAGTACAAGAAGCGATAATTGGAACTATCTCCTGTGGCTAAGACAGACTAAGATACTTCTGGGTGACTATAACTAGAAAAGATCGAAATCCTGTATCTGCCAGAGCAAGAATATCAGACTACGCATTGTGATAGGGTTCCTTACCGAATATTGCCGACTCAAAGGACAACTTACCAAACTGCGAGACTATTGTAGAAGATATTGATTGCAGATTTTGTGAAGAGTATGATGAAACCTCTATTCACATTCTGACTGGATGTGCAGTATTCCAGAATTCAAGAGGACAGTATACTTAGGAGCGAGTATAAGCGAGTATACCAAATAAAAGAGGGTGATCTACCTAACTTCGAGTCGCTCCAAATCCTACATTTCCTTGAGAAGATAGGATTGAGAGGGTCGTTATTATATAGGCATTAAGAATATTCCCTTGGTGAATTAGCGACAGATGCAATAGATCTTTTTAGTGGCACTGTATTAATACATATAACTCTTTTTCATTATCAGCACAAAATCTGGATCTATCATTGTTTTTAAATTTTCGTTTCATTACTTTTACTTTGTTTCTATTCAGTAAAAAAGCTGGGCACACTCAAAAATAATTTGCTGTAGGAGCACACCATTTACGGTCCACCTCATATGTTTCTCGTATTTATGTGTCAGTAGGTAAATAAAACTTATAATAAGCACTTTATAAAAAAGCAGCACAAAATGCAAAGTACCAAACTAATTTAAGTTAGAATTAAACTGTTATGCTTAAGAAAAATATTTTCTCACGGTAGGTAATTAACCTACCCATTTAACTTGTTAGTGCAAGATTAATTAGTAGCAGCTTGTAATACCTCGTTATTTACCGCATTTTACTTTCAGTATTGTGAAATAATCTCCGGAAAAATAATGATCTCATATGTAGTTAGGAGTGTGGTTCTTAGAAATAATAAATAAATACATTCTTTTTTTATTTCAAGGCAATTACTATTCACCGTTAAATAAAGACTTGTTAGTTTTAAAATTACATTGTAAGTTTATGAAAATTTCTTGAAATCCTCAATTTTGTGCCGTATATGGCAACAATGCACCCATCCTGCAGCCTATAAATAAATTTAAATCGAATCTTCTCCAAGTATAGCGCGTTGGAGGCATGCCAGCGCCACGGCCAGGCACAGACTGATGGGGCGCCCTGTGTGTAACCTTGAGTGTGTGAGATTTCGACTATTTTTGTTTTGGAAGGAAAAACTCCTCAAAAATTCGCTGCAGCCCAGCTGATTCTCTGTTGTCTACGCTTTAACGTCTATTAATTTTACTGAAAAATCACATGACAACACGAAGGATGTATAAATCTATTAATTTTGACGGATGGACAAATTTTTAACGGCTGGGATCAGACCAGGGATATTACGGAGAATTAATTTGGCAACATTGTATGCTAACATTTAAACTTTGAACCATAGAGTTGAACATACATAATTTTTCCTTAAAACGAACATGGTTTTTCTATTTACAACTTCAAAAAAGGAGGTTCTCAATTCGTCGAAATATTTTTTTATATTCAGCGATAATTCTTTAACACGGGGTCCGATTTCAATGATTCTTTTTTGTTGAAAGGGGATATTTCATTGGTGGTCCCATATAAATTTGGTCAAAATCTAATAATTGGGTCCATGAGAAAATCTTCAAACTCTTAATTTTTTATGTAGGTATGTTTATCAATAATTCTTTAGTTACCCTGTTCGGTTTCAATGATTTTTTTTTGTTAGTACGGGGTTACCTCAAGGGTGGTCCTATATAAAAATTTTCAAGATGTGGTGATGGCATCTCTGCGATTTTGGAGTCGGTTTTTTAAAAATTACTTTTAATACCTACTTGTTTTTTAATTAAATTTGATAACCATGGGCGTCGTTCAAAAAATTTCACAGGGGTACAAGTCTTACAGGCAGGGTCAAAACGGCGCAGGTTATAGTCGAAATAAGCCATAGCGAAAAATAAAAAATAACAAATCCAGGGAGGTAGACCCCCTTGTCCTCGTGTGGCGGCGCCCATGTTGATACCTACATCACAGAATAACATACTATTATTATTATGTGCCTACATGTGGTATTGAATTGTTTTCTATACAGTACGAGGATTCATAGGTTCGTTCATATAGGTAATTTACTTCAAAATGATCTTCAATATTCTAAAATAATATAGTGAAATTTTATTTACTCATCGTTCACTAAGGTTAGGCAACACATATTACAACGTGTAAAAAGGATTGCCTGTGAAAGTAATTGTATTTCCGTTCGTTTGTTAATTCGGAATAATTTATTTCCGTTAAATTCTATAGTTTAATTAAAGCTATTTAGCAACATAAAATATAAATTATTTATAACTTAGGAAATAAAACCGCGATAGTTACGATTAATCCACTTTTATAAGAGCGCTTTCTTAAAAAAATCAAACCATCTGTTACACACTTTCTTCAGTGTAGTGTTTTGAACACAGCACGTATTTAACAATTTTTTTGGTTATTGATCTGTCACATCTCACATCTGTCATCGGTTTGTTTAAAAATCCCATTTGGTGATCTCATATCTCATCTTCAATTAAACAAATAGGGTCACTTGTAACTGGGTGTGTGAATTTTTCTATTCACCTTTACGAAGAGTAGTTTTGTTCAGGTACATTTATTGTTTCATTACAAAATGCAAATAAACTCTCAAAAACACAATTGAGGTTAACGCCCTGTTTTCAACATGTTTTGTTGTGAAAAATAAAGTTTAGTTGCGGAATAAATTCGTTGAAAAGTGGATATATTTTAACAGCTACAAATAGGCAGTGATATTTTGTTTTTGACTTGATTAAATTAGAATTAAGAACTGCGGTATTGACATAACATTTTTATTTCCAGACGTCCACAAAAACCACCACAACCACAATGACAACCCCTGCAAAATTGTATGGGAAAGATTTGAGTGTCTACGATGATGTAGATGTAGATGAATTACTGGATAAATTGACTGCTGAAGAAATTAGTGTTTTAGCTAAAGAAGTAGATCCAGATGTAAGTAGATTTTATTACTTTTTTAAGTAGTTTATTGTATAAAAATATAATAAAGACCAGTATGCTCAGTACTTATATAGAATTTGGACGTATCTACAACAAATATTAAGTTTTTACAATAAAATAGGTAGGGTTATTCAGAAAAAATAAGAATTTAATAACATGTTTTTAAAAGAAGTTGGTATGTGTTTTAAGAGTCATACCTAGCTGTTTATGGCGTTTAATAAAAAACAATATTCTTATTCATTAAAAGGAAACTATTAGCATAAATGTTTAAAAAAACAACAATATGAGTCCTTAAATGATGAAGTATTTCATGTTTGATCACACCAGTTTTGTAGATTGTATACCTGGGCATTTGATTTAAAACAATTTTAAATACTTTTATATTTAGATAAACTTTGTGGGCTTTTTTCTTTAAATAATAGGAACTTTTATATTATGACCAATCTTGTGTTCATATAATTGTAATTAGTAATTAAATACCAGAGGAAACAATTCCTCCACAGACATACTAAGAATAATTAGATTTAATTTTGTTTTAATGAATAAAAAATAAAATACATATAAGTATTCTTTATTTTAAGACCTATTACATGTTGGATTTGTCAGTAACTCTAACACAGAAGTTGTCTTTGAAATTTTACAAAATTTTATCATTAGTTGTTCATTTCCTACATGTTAGGTACCTGGACTAATTACTTAATGGTCTAAAAACTTGTTAATTGCATAAGAAACTCTTTCAAGGTCAAAAATTTAAATTAATTTTTAATTCCACTAAGTTTATTAAAAATTTTAAATGTGGTGATTTCACCATTAGAACAAGTCGTCGCCCTTATCACGAAGTGGCATAAGTAGCAAATAGTAAATTTTACAGGAAAGCAATAAAAGAAAATATGTAATTCTCAGATCAACATAATATAGAGGGATTTAGATTTTGTGCTTCCAAAATTTTATCATGGAATGCTAAGGCCTTGTTTTATTGTTTAGTAATTCCAGATTAGCCAAACTCCCTTGGGATTAAAAAAAAAAAATTAAAATAGTTATGCCACTTCATGACAAACAATTTTCTCACTATCAGATAGACCTTAATTAAGTATATTTTATTAATTTAGTTGTCATTCTTTTTAATGCTATATTATGTATGTTTTATCTGCCTGTGATTATATTTAGTACAGGTTTAGGAAATGACAAACAAATAAAAAATATGTTTAATGTTTTTATTAAGAAAAATAAATATAACTGAAAACTAATGATTAAAAATAGTTGGAATTGTGTTTAAAACTATCATTCTTCATGAGGTAATTCCTGATAATATTTCTGCAATTCAGGTAATGGAACCACAGGCATTTGGCGTTGACTTAGGATGATTAGGTCAGAATATTTATTGCTTGTTAGTTTTACTGGTTCTGTGTTGAGAGATTCTAATTTATTATCACAAATATTTTCTGTCGGTCTTTTTATTTCAATACTATCATACTCTTTATGGTTATGACTTCGTTTGAAAAATAAATTCCATAATTTCAGTCCACTTTAAATTTTCTCCTGATGCACTTTCTCTAATTGATAGAATTCTTAAATATTTTGACAGTTTTTTAAAATCCAAGAAATCTGAGTACTTCGTTGACGATCTAAGGTTTTCTTCTGGCGAATAGAAAAATTGGGTATTATGGCAGTATTTATTGTACTCAGGCTGAGTCCTCCTCACTAGGCCCATGGTTTGTTTCGAAAAAACCATAGTGATATTTTTTTCACAATTATCGAAAGATTTTTATTCTGGCCATTGCAGCCATCCGAGTAGAAAGAAAGGGTAGTAATTTGGTCTTTATTCGTAAAATATTCCAAAGATTTATAAATACATGTAGAGATTTCAGAAGAACTTCTGTTACTCAAAATTTAATTCATTGGAAAGCAAATACATTCTTTTGTACCAATATTGTAAAAAATAAAGTTAAATGTTGCTAATATTGTTTTGTAGTAAATAGCATTCTCTTTGCTTCTTGGCAAGTATATAACTTGTAAATCGAAAACTCCATGGAGAAATGATTTGTTTTCTATTGTTCTTTTCTTGTCTACAGCTTTTAACTCTTGTACTTTTTGCTTCTCTGCAATATGCCCTGTGTACTTGTCTTTTAAATTTTCTTTTACAGTGAGCTCTCCTTGAAAGTAAGTTATAAAGAGGGAACATTGATTCTTTTTTGGATTGTAGAAAGATAAATTTTGTTATTTAAATAGTTTTCGGTTACTACTATAACCCGGTTTGTTAGTAAATTTTTTTTTTTAAGATTCTCTAAAAACATATTGTACATCTTGGGCAAGGATAAGTCAGAATGTAATTACGTTCTTGAAGTTGTTGATGTACAATCATAAGATTCTGCACAAAATAAACATAGCATCTGTTCAGTTAGGTTGCAGTATATCCTCTGGAATCTGGATCACATATTATTTTACTTCACTAAGATACCTAAAGTCACTTAAAACAGTGTGTGAGGAAAATATTCTGTGTTATTGCAGATAGGACACAGAAGTAATATGCTGTATTGCATGCACTATTAAGGTTGTAGATGTGCCACTTCGTCAGATGATAAAGTAGGTCAAGACTAGTTCATCCACACAAAAACACATTTTTTTAATTTTTGTTGGCGACGGAGTCATCGATATTGATTAAAAAATTCTCCCTATTTTAAAAATAAATTAACCAAATTTCATCCATATAAGTAGAGTCAAAAAAGTACACTATGTCTTAATAAGTCTGGACCACCGACTTCACCATGTGAAAAAAAAATTAAAAATGAAATAAACTTCATAAATGTTTAAACTTTTGTACTATATATGAGGGAGATTAAAAATATGATTTTGGCTCGAGTAAAGTAGAGAAAAATTTTAATTGATTGTTTAGATGCATTACATCAGCAAATATGAAATTAGAACCACCCACGTAAATATCTTTTTTTTTCAATTTATTTGTTAGTATTTATGTAACAGAAAGGAACTTTTTAGTCAATTTTAAGTGAATATGGGCATTATTTAATCTCCATACAATATGAAAATTCTAAATTTGAAGAAATTTATTTTTGACATCAAATAGATGCCGGAATATTTAATTTTTGTATTAAAAAATAGCCATTATATAACCATTCCAATACGACTCTTGATTGAAGGGAAAAGCGGGTGTCTGTCATAAAAACTAGGAAAACTATTGGACCAACAATAAAACCCTGAGATATTCCAGGTGGTACAAGTGACAATCTATAGCACAAGTAGAAGTTGGAAAGGCTTTTGGTAGGTAGAGAGAGGGTAAACTACAAACCACGTCGGACGGCTTCCAGAATTTCACAGTAATGTTTACCTGCCAGTGTCGTTTCATAGAATAAGTAATTTTAAATTGTTACCAGCGGAACCGGACAATCGCGTGTATTTATGGACTATAAATAATTATTATACATTATAATATTCAAAGCATAATTTTACAAAATTTCAACAGCCATTCACAATTTATTAAACTATTTACTCGAAATTGTTATTAACATTTATAAAATAATTTTGTACGCCAATGTATCGCATCCGCTTCTGTTAGATCCGCCGCAAACCTGTCAATTTATGTGTATGAAGTGGGAGAACTGGCAAAAGCCTTTCCAACTTCTACTTGTGCTATATTAAATGCACAAAAATTTATCAGGATTCAGGATTACAAAATAAATCTGTAATTTTTAAAATTTTTACACTCAAAATGAATAATAGGTATATAAAATTACTGTGATAATTCTAGCTCAGTATTTCTATAATAATGACCTTGACACTTTATTATGTAAGGATGTTTATTGATTTCTATTTTTAGTCATTCATTCATTACGTTAAAAATTGTAGACTATTAATTTGGTAAACAGTGTATGAACCAATAATTTTTTTATTTAATACAAAACTCCTTAAACTGATCTTTATTTTTGTAAGCTTAGCAAGCTGCATGGAGAGTTAGAGTTAAAATATAATAAGGATAAAAAATACAGGGTTACACGCTGAAAACTTCCCACCCTGAATATCTTCCTTCCAGTAAATAATATGAAAAATTGCAAAAACCTGTCTATTTTTAAGCGGGACACCTACAATGAATACTTTTAATACTCGTGGCTCAACCTCCTAGGAGGGGTAGATGTTACCCTTAAAATCTTAAATGGGAAAGATGGTCAAGTGGCACATCATTTTAAAGGGCGTTTAATTCTTCTTCCAATGGTATCCCAATTTATTATCTTCTGACCAGCAGGTTCCGAAAAATTGCGTTTCAAAGTTACAAAGGTTGGAACGTGCCTGTACTGAGGTTCTTGGTTTTCAGCTTAGATAAAAGAGACCGGAGATGTAACATTGCACATTGCGCACGTTGTCTATTCCAACCCTAAGTAACCCACCAATTAAAAATCATTGTGTCCACGACGCCACCCGAATTGCTCCGAAATTTCTATTCTACGCTCGTCTCCGCGTGAGTAAATCAATTTATGGACCGCCGTTTTTTGAATTATTTGTTGGTGTTATTAACAATTTAAAGTGTTTTTGTTATTCAATTTCAAGTTGAAAATGCCACGATGGTGAAAAATTGTGTATACAAATAATATAAGTGTCAATGTTATGAAAAATAAGAAATATATTCGTTTTCAGCGGTAAATATTTGTTAACGTTTTGACATAAAGGCGCCATGATCCTTTGAGCTGAATACTTCAGATCCGCATTAAGGGGTTTCAATAAATATTAAGCATCAAATACATAATACCTATTTCAGAAAATAGATTTCATAATGCATATATTTACAAAAGAGCAAAATTTTAAACATTTAATCTAAATAAGAAGTAAATAGGCATTGTTACTAACGAAATTTTGTTTTTAAAAAGTAGTTTTATAAGAATATTTTCTAAAGGTGGTTTTTATCCCTTTTTGGTAAATAAATAAGAAGCAAAGAAGCATAGTTACTAGCGAAATTTTATTTTTATAAGGTATTTTTACAAGAATATTTGATGAAATACAGGATCACCTACTTAATATTTCAAGGTTCATCTCATTTGCGGTTTAATCGGAAGTAACATTTGAATCTTAAGTCTTAAAACAAAGTAAAACACGCAATATGATCTAGTATAAGCAAAAAAAATACTAAAGTTACGGAAGTTAGTCATATTATTAATAAAATGTTACATTATAAACCCCTAAACAACTCGAAAAAAATCTTCGTTTACTAAAAAAAATATAAATTCTAGCAATATATTTATAGCAATATTTATTATACAATCGAATGCGGTTTCAAAGAAAACAGGATCAGAAAATCCGAATCTCTAAATTTTGGAGCTAAATGCTCGGATAAAAGCAAGCGACCGATAGGGGTTACAAAAATAATCGATTTATCGTTTTTTTTTTCATGAAAATCGATTTATCCGTTATAATTAATCGATAATTTTCGATTAATCGAACTTTTTCAATAAATTATTTTCGTTTTTTAAGGTAATGGAATAATCGATTATAAAGGAATTACAAAAAGTAGATTTATTCAAAATATTCGATTTATTATTTAATCGGCTTTTTAAATTAATCGATTATTTTCGATTTACCGAATATTTTCGATTAATCGATTATTTTCGATTTTTCAACGGTATTCGTATAATTCGTTTTAAAATACGAAAAAATAGATTATATGAAAATAATCGATTGATCGAATATAATCGGTTATTTTAATATAATAGAATTATCGATTTATCGGTCAATCAGCTTTTTATTAATGAATTATTTTCAATTTATCGATTATTTTCGATTTTTCAAAGATAATCAAATAATTAATTTTGAAGGAAATATGAAAACAAGGATTATTTAAAAATAATTGATAACTCAGTTATTTTTTTAGAAAATCGATTTAATTGCTTATTTTCTCTTAATCGATTATTTTCGATTAAGCGATTATTTTCGATGTTTCAAAGATGATCGAATAATCGATTTTAAAGGAAATAATTCTGTTTTTTTTTTTTTTTTTTGAAAATCCATTTATCGGTTATTCGACTTTTTAATTAATCGATTATTTTTGATAAATCCATTATTTTCGATTTTTCAAAGATTATCGAATAATCTGTTTCAATGGAAATACGAAAAAAAAAACAGATTATTTGAAAATAATCGATTATTTAAAATAAACGATATGTCGTTTATTATTTTTTCTAAACACTGATTTATCGGTTAATTGGCTCTTTAATTAATCTATTATTTTTGATTTTTCAAAGATAATCAAGTAGTCGATTTTAAAGAAAATACGAACAAAAATAGATTGTTTGAAAATAATATGTAATATAATATTAAAAAATCACGTTAATTTTATTGCATAATACAAAATTCCATTAAATATCTTATAAGTAAATCTAATAGTTGTTCATTATGATGCTAATAAACAAAGTCCGTCCCTATCACAGAGTTCGGGTATCGTCCTAGTTCCCCCACTCCGTTAACCTTTCTTTAGAAATTGGCAACATTTGCGCAGGTTAAACACCGGTGTATGTTATATCTCTGGTCTCTTCTATCTAAGGTTTTCAGTTAGCTGAACAAAAATTATTCTATATAAATAAAAATTTCCTTGGTTTATTCGGTCATTAATTTTATTTTCTATATATGCACTATATATGTTTCGGAAAACTTTGTTTCCATCTTCCAATTTTTCCATTACGGTCCATTTTAGAAAAATCATGTAAAAAACAAAAATTATAGAGATCGATATCGCAAACAACTTTTAGTTTAACAATTTTCTTAAAAATCAGAATTTTGCAGATTTTGTCAAATTTCTCGAATACGGACCATTTCATGAAAATTTGGCATGAAACAAAAATTATAGATAATAATATTAGAAGTAACTTTTATTGGAACAATTTTATTCTCCAAACATAAATAACAGATATATTCCATAAAATATAAAAACGACCTCCTATAAAGTACCCCCCTGATGTTCCGACTTTGTCCAAAATCTAATCATTTCACCTCAGGCCGAAATAAAACTTAAGTTTGAAATTTAATGTTTTTTCCTTTATCCGTTTTTGAGTTTCCTTTAAAATTCGTATTTTACTCATTTTCTCAAATATCTCGAATACGGCCCATTTTAGAGAAATTATGTATAGGGTAAAAATTATAGAGAATTATATTTACAAACAACTGTTATTTGAACAATTTTTATAAAAAAAATATTTTTTTTACATTTTGTCAATTTTCTCGAATACAGATCATTTTAGGTTTTGTATATAAGTGACTTTCAGATGTTTTTCTTTGTATCCGTTTATGAATTATCGAGGATACAGATACACAGACACACAGACATCATTTCGAAAATAGATTCAATATAGAATGGCGCGCTATTGTTTTTTTCAATTTTCTTTTAATCATTTTTAAAATAAATACTTTTCGAAGGTTTACAAAAAATCGGACTATAAATAAAGGCCCAAGGAATTATAAATTTTCAAGGTATTCGGTTTGTTTTTAAATCCTATCTCACAAATTTTGTAGATATCTGAGAACCCGTTATTGAGAAAATTAGAAGTTTCCAAACTTTTTTACACTCTGTATGGTGTTCGATAAGTACGGTACATAACTTCAAAAGCGTATTCTGGTGCTAAAATAAAGGTATTTTTGTCATATACACTATGTCTCAAAAATGCTTCGTTACAGAAATACAGGGTGTGAAAGTTTCATAAAAAAAATACAATTTTTTAAATATTTCCAAAACCACTTGAGATATTTTAATTAAATTTCTGCAGCTTTTGAGAGTTAGCAACGTTGCGTGTTTTACTGTAAACACAGTGGCTTTCGTTTAACCAGTGGCGTGCGCAAGGTAACTTTCACACCCTGTATTTCCGTAACGAAGTATTTTTGAGACATAGTGTATATGACAAAAATACCTTGATTTTAGCTCCAGAACAAGCTCCTGAAGTTATGTACCATACTTATTGAACACCCTATATATAAAATATGGCTGATTCTAAGATAAAAAGACCATAATGAAATCCGAGAAGATTTTGTTGAATTTAAAGATTGACAAGTCAACGGTGTCATAAAAATTATATTATACAGTGTGTTGTTAAAAAAAGGTAGCTCCGTTGCTAGTACTGAAAAATAAGTGGGTCACTTCCGATTCTGACACCGTGGTGTCAAGATTGAAATGGCGGTCTCAGAATCGGGAGTCATGTGTGTATGTGTTTCTGTAAAAATTTTAAATAAGAATGACCATCGATTAGTGAATCTTGCCTTAATGGGATTATGCATCCTGTTAAGAAGTTTCAAATACATATTTTAATTATATTACTTGAGGGTATCCAATTGCCGAGAGCAAGACAACGATACGTTTTGATAGCTGGGTAAATTGGCCTGTAGGATATAGCCCCAAAAAAGGAAGAAGAAAATAAGTGGGGTTAGGTTAGTATAGTAGTTTGTGCAACAAAAGTGGATATGATGACCATATCGCACGAAGACGAAATTTGAGCACGACGCCGTAGACGGAGTGCTCAATCGTCTGAATGCGATGTGGACAATCCACTCGAGTTTTACAGTATATTTTTTCTACGACCCACTAACGAAAATTTACATAAAAAAAATATTTTAGGTTATTAAGACAAAATAACTGATTTTAAAATAATTTATGACTTTTAATAATTTTTAAAATAAAATAAACGAAAAAAAAAAAAGAAAAAAAGTTCATTTCATTTTTCCCTATCCGAGAATCGAACTCGAGTCTTCGGTGTAGAAGGCAAGAACGCTCACCACATGATTACCTATTCTTTTAATTTTGTTGCTTTAATATTCTTAATTAAATTGAATTCATATAGTTTTATTTAAATTAACAAATTATTTATAATTATAGATGAAATAAAAACAGAAATGCCATTATTTATCGATTCTACACAAGAATAACCCATTTTAATGTATATTTAATCTCAATAACCAAAAAATATACTGACAATTAGTTTGACAGAATTGTCACTTATTCAAAATTTTAAAAATAAAGCAATCGGTTTATCAAAATATGAACTATTATCCAGAAATAAAAAACAGATCGTCTCTAATTCACTAAATGAAAGTTAAATTTGTAAAAAACAAAAAAATATTGAAATTTTAACTCACTGTATCTCAAATATGTATGCTTTTACAATTTCTTACTAACCTAACCCCACTTATTTTTCAGTACTCTACAGGGCCATCTTTTTGTGAAACACTGTATAATATTGAATAATACTGTTTATTAATGAAATTAAATTTTATAATTATAATTGTTATATTCGTTTTTTTAGGATAGTTTTTTACCTCCCTCCCAAAGGAATAGTTATGAATGTGAAAAAGACCCAACAGGTCCTTTAAATAGAAAAAAATTAATAGAGCACATCAATAAGGAAGCCATAGAGACACCCGATATTCCGGAAATAAAACCCTATGTTGCTGGTACGGTCAGGGGGAAAAAGGTAATTTTTCAATTTCTTGTCTACTATTTTTTATTTTTTTAGCTTATTTTTACGAGGGCGTATTGATTATTTCGTAGACTGCTATGAAAGCAAGCAATTTTTTTTGTTGGTAGACTTATCAGGCATAAAACTATGTCGTAATATTTTGTTTATCGAAGAAAGCAGATAAATGCTAACTAAATATTAGTACACCCTCGTAATTAACTGTATTTTATTTGTAAAAATAAAAATCTGATAATTATTCCAGCTCCACTGTTTTGATTTGTGTATTTTTTTTTTAGTGGATACCTCCACCTCAGCCAATCAAAGAACAGGAGGCAGATGAACAAATTGCAATAGATTTAGGGGATGAATACGAACATGCATTATCAGCAGCATCACAGGATGAAATTATAGATTTAGCTGGTATGTATTTATATATATTTTCTAATTTTCGGTTCATAAATAATGATGTGAAATTTTCGTGTAGAAGCCAAATTTTTCTGCTTTCTCATCGTTAATCTTTATTATTAATTCATTATTTTTAGATGGAAATGTGAATATGTTAATTATTCTTCGAATTTTTTTTGTCAGTAATGTTCAATATTTGCTTTTAGCTAGAGAAAACAGATTTTTCATATCTTTTTCCAATAATTTGTTTCATTTTTAGACGTATCTTTCAATATGTTTTTAAATATACTGACTAAAACAGTTATGCAAAAGTATATCGTTCTTACATCTTTTTTGAATATAATATTCAAGTTTTAGACCAATCCTTTAAGTGGTTTTAAGTTACCAAGCTGACTAAACTATCGCAGAATGAATATCAACAGGTTTTCCCGACAGATCGCTTTTTTAAAATATTTGTTTTAAATGTTCGGAACTATACGTCAAATAGTTGCCAATCAGACTAAGGCAGGCTTTGTCAGGTCGCGAAATTAGAATCTGTACAGATACCAAAATAATATCCTCATAAATTTCTTTCATGTTTTTTTTTTTTTTTTTGAATAAATTGATCCTTTTTTCAGTTCAATACTTTAACTGGATTTGCGTTGTCAAGCTAAGAAAATAATATGGAAACAGTTTGTAATATCGCCGATTTAATATCTACAGATATTAAAAATACGTTCCACACAGGACGATTTTGAAAAATTTTAAAATAATTCAATTTTTGGTCCAATTCCTTGAGTGGGTTTTTAGTTGTCAAGAAGACTAAGACAGTCATGCATAAATTCCGAAATCCTTCTGTCTTTATAAGAGTGCCACATTAAAATCAGTACAGATATTAAAATAATTTCTTTACTGATCAATTTTTACATATTTTTTGACCCAATTATTCAATTTTGAGACTTATTCTTTTAGTGGTTTTTAAATATCATCTTAACTAAAACAGCATGCGGAAATTCGAAAATACTTCTGTCTTCTGAAAGGTCGCCTCATTAAAATCAGTACAAATAATAAAATAATTCCCTCACACATCCAATTTTACATCTTTTTTAACCAATAATTCAATTTTGAGTCTTATTTTTCTTGTGGTGTTTAATTGAAAAGTTGACTAACAGAGTTATGCAGAAATTCTAAAATCCTTCTGTATTTATCAGATAATTAAAAGATAAATTAAAAGATAATTAAAATCAGTACAAATATCAAAATAATTTTCTCACAGATCCATTTTTTCATCTTTTTTGACCCAATTATTAAATTTTGAGTCTTATTCTTCAAATGGTTTTTAATTGCCAATATAATTAAGACAGTAATGCGGAAATTCGAAAGCCCTTATGTCTTTGTAAGATCGCCTTATTAAAATCAGTACAGTTCTTCACATATCTATTTTTAAATATCAAAATAATTTCCTCACAGATAGATTTTTCTAGATTAAAATCAGAACAGATATCAGAAGAATTTCTTAACTGAACAATTTTTACATGTTTTTTGGGCCAACTATTAAATTTTTAGTCTTATTCTTCTAGTGGTTTTTAAATACCAACCTAACTAAGACAGTCATACAGAAATTCGAAAATCCTGTATTTGTAAGATCGCCTTATTAAAATCAGTACAGAAATCAAAATAATTTCCTCACAGATCAATTTTTTCATCTTTTTGACCCAATTATTAAATTTTGAGTCTTATTCTTTAAATCGTTTTTAATTGCCAATATATTTAAGACAGTGATGCGGAAATTCGAAAGGCCTTATGTCTTTGTAAGATCGCCTTATTAAAATCAGTACAGATTTCAAAATAATTTCCTCACATATCCATTTTCACATCTTTTTTTAACAAATTTTTCAATTTTGAGTCTTATTCTTCTAGTTGATTTTAATTGTCAACATAATTAAGGCAGTAATGCGGAAATTCGAAAGCCCTTCTGTCTTTGTACGACCGCCAAATTAAAATTAGTACTGTTCATCACATATCTATTTTTAAATATCAAAATAATTTCCGCACAGATAGATTTTTCTGGTGGTTTTTAATTGCCTACCTAACTAAGACAGTTATGTAGACTAAAAAATCCTGTCGTTGTAAGATCGTCACATTAAAATTAGTGCAGATATCAAAATAATTTCTTCACTGATCAATTTTTACATGTTTTTTGGACTAACTATTCAATTTTCAGTCTTATTCTTCTAGTGGTTAAAAAGGATGTGAAAATAGATCTGTGAGGAAATTATTTTGGAATCTGTACTGATTTTAATAAGGCGATCTTACAAAGACAGAAGGATTTTCGAATTTCCGCATGACCGTCTTAGTTAGGTTGGTATTTAAAAACCATAGTCCAGGGCATTTAGACCAAATCGATCGGAATAGCGGACATTTTTAGGAACAGCAGATATCGAGATGTAGTTTTCTGCATTGTATTTAGGAAAATCACAGGAAAAAGTCTATATCGTCTGGTTTAGCCATTTTTTGAAAAATGTCTTCTGGGCCGGAAAATGCATTTTCCAATTGCATCATTACTTGCACCATTATAGGAACGACTGGAAACTCGGAAAAATCGCTCGGAAATCGTTACTTGGGGGGTTTTCGGGTTTGCCAAATTCAATTCTAGCATTAGATTTCCCCTAGGGCGCTCGGAAGTGGCTCTGTGGGGTTGTCTGGGGGTGATTGGGGGGAAATGACAGCGTCCATGAAAATCACTCCAAAATCGTTACTCGGGGGGTTTTCGGGGATGCCGAATTGAATTCTGGTATTAGACTTCCCCGGGGGCGCTCTGTGGGAAATGGTAAAGGAGAAATTGAAAAATCACATATTATGAAAATAATACTTTATTTAAATAACAAATAGAAGTTTTTATTAATGTTGAATTATTCATTATAAACCTTAAATTTTTAACTTAAATACTAAACATCTTGTTCAAACTCTACTCTCTTTATAGCTTTGGCGCCTTTTTCAAATCCAGTTTCGAGACACAAAAGACTTCCAAAGCAATTGTTTTTATAATATGTGTAATATTTATTTATTTAATATTCAATCAAAATTTTTATTATTTATACCCCCGGGTAATTCTAATGTCAGAATTGAATTCGGCATCCCCGAAAATCCCCGATTAACGATTTTGGAGCGATTTTGATGGACGCTGTCATTTCCTCCCCAATCACCCTCAGACAACCCCACAGAGAGACCCCGAGCGCTCCGGGGACGTCTAATTCCAGAATTGAATTCGGCATCCCCGAAAACCCCCCGAGTACCGATTTTGGAGTGATTTTAATGGACTATGCAATTTCCCCCCAGAATGACCCCACGCGCACCCCCACAGAGCCACCCTCGTGCACCTCCGGATAATTCTAATGTCAGAATCGAGTTTAGCGGCCCTGAAAACCCCCGAGTAACGATTTCCGAGCGATTTTTCCGAGTTTCCAGTCGTTCCTCTAATGGTGCAAGTAATGATGCAATTGAAAAATGCATTTTCCGGCTCAGAAGTAATTTTTCAAAAAATGGCTAAACCAGACGATATAGACTTTTTTCCTGGGACCTTCCTGAACATAATGCAGAAAACCGCATCTCGATATCTGCTGTCCCTAAAAATTTCCGCAATTCCGGTCGATTTGATCTAAATGCCCTGGACTATTGTTTTTAAATACCAACCTAACTAAGACGGTCATGCAGAAATTCGAAAATCCTTCTGTCTTTGTAAGATCGCCTTATTAAAATCAGTACAGATTCCAAAATAATTTCCTCACAGATCTATTTTCACATCTTTTTTAACCAATTATATTCTAGTGGTTTTTAATTGCCAAATAATTAAGACAGTAATGCGGAAATTCGAAAGCTCTTCTGTCTTTGTACGATCGCCAAATTAAAATCAGTACAGTTCATCACAAATCTATTTTTAAATATCAAAATTTCCGCACAAATAGATTTTTCTAGTGGTTTTTATTCAATTTTGAGATTTATTCTAGTAATTTTTAAAATACCAACTTAACTAAGACAGTCATGCGGAAATTCGAAAATCCTTCTGTCTTTGTAAGATCACTCTATTAAAGTCATACAGATATCAAAATAATTTCCTCAAAAATTCATTTTTAATTTTTTTGTTTTAAACCAGTTATTCAATTTTGAATCTTATTCCTCTAGTAATCTTTAATTGCCAAGCTGACTAAAATAGTTATGCGGAAAATCGAAAAGTCTTCTATCTATAAGGACGACAAATTAAAATCAGACAGATGTCAAAATTTCTGCACATCGATTTTTCCATCTTTTTTGAATTAAAATAAAATCAGTACATATATCAAAATAATTTCCCCACAAATCAATTTCTACATCTGTTTTGTATAGTTTCAATTTTCTGAACAATTCCATAAATGCTTTTCACTAAGATAATAATGCAGAAATTCGAAAAAGTCAGGTCACCAAAATAAATTAGTCACAAATCGATTTTTAAATTCTTTTTCAGTCCAATCCTTAAGTGATTTTAAATAAACCTTCTTTGACAATGAATCGAAAAATATTCTTTTGTCTTCATCAGGTTACTAAATTAAAACAAATTAAAATGTTTAGCCGTCTTTTTTTCTTTAAAAAACTGTCAATTTTTAAAAATATATTCTACCAAATTAAACTCATACTTTTATCATCTAAAATTCTTTTAGCCATTCTTGGTTTCCATTCGATGATGAACCAAGATCAGTACCACGCCTCCCTCCTAAACAAAGGCCAACCGGTCGGTTTAGGCTGGGACGGCATCACGAAGGCCTCCAAACAGAAAATATTCCCCGTTGACCCACCCAATATGACGGATACTGCCGAGACCATCAAGAAAGTCGAAGACGACGAAAGCAAATTCATCGATTTGAATTGGAACAACATCAAAGTAAGTTTATTAAAATGTATACTTGCCGAAATAGGGACATTTTTAAATAGTTTTATTAATTTTTATTTGATATGATAGTATTCTTTGTATCCACTTTTATGTTAATCCAGTGTCAGTTTCTACTGATTTTAAGTTTCATTAAATATTTTATCATTTGACATTTTGCGGTTTGTGTTGGCATTTGGCGGATTGTATTGATATTTGGCGGATGGTATTGACATTTAGCCGTCTGTTATTTATTTAAAAACATTTATACACCTTTTAAAAATCTTTGCTATACACATCAGCATAAAAATAGAATACAAAGTGTAATGTATTGCTCTTAACAGGGGTCTGCATGAGCCAAGTCGAGTATCTTCGCCTTTAATATGCCGTGTTGTTTACTGTTATGATTACGCTAAATGTAGCAGCCCTAACTCCTTGCCCTTTGGGCATACTTAAGGGGTTGTATAGTGCATAAATCGGTAATTGTACATGGGTAATAGGTCTGCCTTGCGTTAATTATGGTTGTGTCCCCTGAAAAAGCCGTCTGTATTGATTTTTGACAGTTTGTATTGACATTTGATGGATTGTTTTGACATTTGACGTTTTTATTGGCATTTGACGGATTGTTTGACATTTGATGGATTGTTTTAATTTTTGAACCAATTTTCTGACATTTAATAAACGGTTTTGTTTCATTAAAATTTCTTTTAGGTGATAACGAGTTCGCGACGATATCATTTAGGATTTGTCCGAAATAATTTCTCACATTTTTTAATCGTCTTACAACGATTAGAACAAAAAAATACACCACAACAAAGTAAAATTATAAATACCCAAAAGTCCAGTTTTAATGGCCCACACTTAAATCTAATGTTCGTATTTGTTGCGAAAATAGTGTCCATTTTCTAAAAATAAAAAGTAGGAAACCATAAAATCTCACTATTAATTACAAGGATAAATGTTAATAGCTTGTAAACTAGAAAATCTACAAACGATTTTTATTACATTTTAAGGCGATGCAATGTTCTTTAATGCGCGCACGAAAATACATAAACACCACCTTCGCCTCCCTTCTCCCCTCTTATAATGGTGTCAATGATCTTTGAATTTGTGATAAAAATATTGAAGTTAGTATTCATTTATTCCTGAAAAATATCGATAGGGATCAGAATGATCATCGCGGTGGCCAGAACTGGCCCTTAGAAATAATTAGTGATATACAGGGTGGGCCACCAAAAACTTTCAATTCAGGTTTTTTTTCGTATTGATGCCAAAAACAAAAAACCGCTGAGACTGGTCGATTTTAGTTTGGAGGAGGACACGTTTTTTCTAATTGCAGCATCGACACTTCAACCCTCGAACAAAGGAATGAACAATCCCTACAATTTAAATAGAGAAAGTACCAAGGTGACACATCATTGAAAAGGTAATTTGATGGAGAATTCGGCAATAAGACTACTCATTGCGATGCTTTTGATTTTAGCGCCTAGTTTTTTAAAAGACTTACATATTGTAAAGTGCGACACTTCATTTGAAAGCTAATTTTATTACTAATTCAAAGCACCAAATAACAATAATCTAAATATGTCCAAATTGTACTTGCAACAGTCTGAAAATTGGTCTTTGCATTATTACTAACTTTATTTTGTTGCAATATGAAGCCTCTTAGATTAATGCTATGTAGTGCATTGAATTAGAAATAAAATAAGCTTTCAAATGAAGTACCACTCCTTAAAATACGTAACATTTTTTTTAACATGCTAGAGGGCACTAAAATCAAAAGTAACACAGTCTTATTCTATCATATTACCTTTTTAATTGTGTCATACTTGGTACTTTCCCTATTGATGATGGTGGGGTTTTCCTAACCTGCAAGTCAAATGACACCATCAATCGTCTTTAAGTCGCCCCGGAGCACCACGGCAAATAATAATAATAATAGCGGTCCCTTCATTACACAAGTCACTCAATCGGCTTCAGGGGTTGATATTCACTCGTAAGGGAGTGAATTAGGGAGATTATTATTATATTTAAATGCGCTAGTTCAGTGATGATGTAATTATGGTTTCACTGACAATTAAAGTGACAGTAGATTTTTTGAGTACGTTTTGTTTACCTAAATTATATCGTTTTTTCACTTTTATAAATATATTTCAAAAGTAAGTAATAACATGCATCAAATATACAATCGTTTAGTTACCAATTACATACCTTTAAACTATTTTTTATGACCTGTAAACAATATTTAGAAATAAACTAAAAACAGTAAAAACGTATATGTCAAATTTATTGATGTTTTTGTTAAAAGTTTGGTTAGAATTAAATGTCAGTGGAACAAAAATGACATCACACTGAACCAGCGCATTGTAGGGGTTGTTCACCCCACTGCTCGAGAGTTGAAGTGCCAGTGCTGTAATTAGAATAAAGTGTTCCCACCAAACTAAAATCGATCTGTACGAGCGTTTTTTTTTTGTTTTTTTGCATCCATACGAACAAAATCCTAAGTGAAAAGTTTTCGGTGACCTACCGTGGATATATCAATAATTTCTTCACAAAGATAAATTTGATTTGTTTTAAATCCTTAATTGAAAAGTAATTAACATTATTGTATTTAAATGGAACCAATAATAAGGTTTTAACACTTCAGGATTATACCAATTAGAAATGAGTTATTAGGTAGAATTGCCCCCACATCACTTAGGCTTCACTAGACCCATTGTGCATCCTTCAACGCCATATAACCCAATTTTTTTAGTTGTATCTTATGACAAGCACATGCGCGATGGTATTTGAAATGAAATTTCTAGATAGACTTATTTTGTCCACCTGATCCCCAAGGCGTTAAGTCAATTATTAATTATTTCTAGTTGAATATTTAGCATATTATCTGAAGTCTTATATCTCTGATTATTTCTAAGATCTCTAAATAATTTAGTTTAATGCCGTTAATGTTTTTAATATACAGGGTGGGCCATCAGTAACACCTCGGTCTGTAGAGCCAAAACTAAGATTTTTTTAAAATCTGTTTTGACAGCAAGATGTATTATATCAGAAAAGGCAACAATTTAAAAATAATTTCAATTATACAGGGTTCTCCAAGAAAGTGATACATGATACACCCTGAATTTTATTTTATATTTGAATTGTCCTTGCTTTTTCCATTATAACAGTACCAAATAGTATGAGATTATACAGGGTATTTCACACGCTATAATCAGTTATATATGAAAATCATATTGATTTTAATAATCTGTATAGTGCAAAAGAAACAATTGAAAACCTTTTTTTGCGGTAATAGGTTTTCGATATTAGTCAATATTTATGCCGATGCACTACTTATTTTAATTAGAAACAAATCTGTAGGTGATGAGTCGAAACAAATATTTTCTTTTTTTTTTTTTAAATTGGCCTCCCTGTATTTTATATCACTATATAAAAATACCTTAATTAAAGTTTCATTTAAGTTAAGCATTCCCTATACCTAAAGTTAATAATTTTGAGAGATTTTTAAATTTAAATGAGAAAAAAGATAATTCACAAAATTCTTTAATTTTAAGTGGTCACTGGTTAATAGAAAATAGACTTTTTATTAATTGATAATTAGAATTTAACCAGCTATAATTTATTATTGACTGAATAAGCGTTTGACAATGTCTAATGTGACTTATACATTCATTAAAAAAATTATATACTCTATTTTAAGTTTATTAAATGTAATTTTGACAGATTTTATTTAATTGGAAAATTGTATGTAAGTAGCCTTCAATAATATTTATGGAGGTCTTGAGGGGGTTTTCAAGGGTCCAACTCACATTTATAAGCATTTTTTTAAGTAACTTCTCTTATTCACAACTAAAGGTCATGTTAAAAAACTGGCTAGACTTTTTTAAAAATAAATATTGCAACACTAATGACGTTAATAATAACAAACTACCAGTATTGAGGTTTCAAAGTCAACTTAAAAATAAAATAAACAGAATAAAGTAGGTATTATAGTGAGTCTAGAATTGGTTTGCGACAAACCTTAATTTGTTACAGTTATACTTTCCACATTTGTATATTTTTTGACACAGATTAATTTATGTGCTTCCGATTTATTTTTGCTGTTTTTAATTTCCTAGTGTTGTTAATTTTAACAGCTATGTTTAATGTTTTGTTTGGTCAAATATGATTCCTTTTCCACAGGGGATAAACTTGTTGGATTACTTGTTTATAAAGTTTTTTTTTCAACCTCTTTTTTGAAGACTTTGTATACATAAGGGGTATACACCTTTTAGCTATTTATCTGAATTCTGCGTTAATTCTTTTGCATGATTTGATTGCTTAACTTCAGTAAATATATTCGTTGTTACAATTTAAACTATTATATCACTGTTTAAAACATTTTAGTGCCGGAATTATTTTCTTTTGCTAAATAAAAATATGCTTATTGAATTCATAATTAAACATATGAATAAAAAGATCTTATGAAGTGTATACAAAAAAAAAAACAGTTTGTCCTAAACTGACTCAACAGGTAATGCAGTGAATATGGAACATTATCCAAAAAAATTGTTCGTTCACATCCAATAATTGCAAAGGATTGTTTGGGTTTTTCTGAAGAGCATGCCTATTATTTTCAAAGACAATCTTTTCGAAAAATTTCTGAAGTAAAGCATAACTGAAAGTAATGCTCTACCTACCTCAAGCTGGTTCTTCTTCCTCTTCCATTACTTCTTCATTGCAGCTAGGTACAATAATAAAGGGTCAGTTGTATCACCTACTTCATTCCACTTGCATTATTTTTTTTGTCTTCCTTTTCTTTTTTTTTTACTTGGAAGAGCGTCGTCGTCTTCATTATCTTCTGCTGATTTTTTATTTCCTTGGCTATTGCTGAATTGTTTATATTCACTCTCGACAGAAGGCACGGGAACGTTCCTCAGAGGCCGTAATGTCATTTCAAAATCTAAAATCAAAGAATATAGTCAGGAAAACCCCATTTACTATACCTGCCGGATGTTCCTGAATAGAAACAAAACAATTTTCTGAAATTTGGGTTGTTCCTATTGAGGAATATGTTTTTTTTGCCATTATAAAAATATTTTACAACATTCTTTTGTTTGTAATACATTCTACTCGTACTAAATACAACTACCAATAAGCTACATATTTTTTGGTTCATTTCTAATATGACCCATTCGTCAGGTTTTAAATGTAATCTCAGAAAATTGGGTTTGCAAAAGAACAGTCTATCTTAACTTTCTTACTTTGATCTTTAAAATAATGATCTTCCTTGGGCAAGGATTCAAAAGCAAATGAATAGATTATATTTGAAAAAGAAACGAATTATAACTTTTCTGATAGTGTATTGGTTGTTTGGCCAAAATACGAGGTGTGGCAGAAAAGTAATGAAACTGATTTTTTACTTTCCAAAGTTTTTATTTCTTTCAAACATCAATGTTATCCCCTTCAAAATAGTTCCTTTGGACAGCTACACACCGATGGAGACGTTCAATTGTTATGGTTTTCAGCATGTCTGTTACAGTCTTTTGGATGATTTGTAAAGTCTTTGAGGACATTTTTTAATTTAGGAAAAATTAAGAAGTCACAGGAACCGAGGTCAGGGAAATAAGGGGAATTGGGAACCACAGGAATGCCTTTTGAGGTCAAAAATTCTGTGAAGAGGGCAGTGTGACATGGGGCGTTGTCATGATGGAGCAACCATTTCTTTGCAATGTCTGGTCTCACGCGAATGACCCTTTTTCTGGGCCTTTCAAGAACGTCATTGAAAGGCATTCCTGTGGTTCCCCATCCCACTTATTCCCTTGGCCTCAGTCCCTGTGACTTCTTCCTTTTTCCTAAAATGTCCTCGAAGGCCGTCACTTCGGAACTTTAGAAATCATCCAAAAGACTGTAACGGACATGCTGAAAACCATAACGGTTGGGAACAACTGTCTCCATCGGTGTGTAGCTGCCCAAGGGAACTACTTTGAAGGGGATAACATTGATGTTTGAAAGAAATAAAAACTTTGTAAAGTAAAAAATCAGCCTCATTACTTTTCTGCCACACCTCGTATAGTCGAGTGTCCACCTGTATAATCATGCAAGCTATTGTTTGCCCAAAATTTGTGCATAATTCTTGAAATTTAAGTTTTCAATGCGTGCCTTTTCTCGCATAGTAACAGCGAAAATAATTTGTTCTATTGAAATGCTGCACATGTCTGGAATTTGTATTGTGCTGTATCTAGCTTATTTATTATTAATTTACTTACTGTTAAAAATGCTTTGTATTTTTAACAACCTTTATCTATACCACTCAAAACCTGGCTATTTATCAGAAACGTTATTACTTCAGCAAGTGATAACATGCTATCCATCGATATTAAGTAAGGGGAGTGTTAACTTGTCAGTTTCGCTGAATCAGTTTAGCTGATTTAGTGATACTGAACAAATAATGAACGTGAAAACACATTTTCATTAAAAACGATCAGTACATTCGTACTTTCAGTTAAAATGAAAACTAGTTCTACATTTTGGCTGAACAATATCGAATAATGAATACAAACTGAAGTGTGAAAACAATATGTTCAGTAATTTGTTTAGTTTGCTGGCTTCAAATTTTTCTTCGTTTATTCTTAAATAATTTCTATATGATTTAACATCTTTAAAAGACAATTATATCAGTATATTTTCACTAACACCTTATTTATTTATCCACTGCTTGACCCTCCATCTACAACGTTCTATTTATTTCTGATTGATCAAAATATCAAAGTAATACTTCGTGAACAGAAGGTTTCAATTTTGGTTTAGTAAGCATTTTATGTCTACTAAATCACTGACAGAATAATCCAGACCAGCTGATGTATTCACCAAAACATGAAACACGTGAACAAGCGCCGTTCATGCTTATTTTCATTTATAATGAATCAGTTCAAATGATTCATTCAAACTGACTAGTCGGAAATTGCATGACATAAAGTATATTTATTGATCTATTGTTACTATTTCAGAATATTTCGGATGAAAAAATGTTCCACCTGTTCGAGGCGTTGAACGGCAACACGCACCTCGAGACGTTGTCGCTGGTCAATTGCAACCTGGCCGACAGACACGTCGAAAAGTTGGCGAGAGCGATAGAAGAGAACGGCACCCTGAGGGTGGTCAACGTCGAAACGAATTTCATCTCGCCGCAGGGCGTCGTACGGTTGATCAAAGCCCTGCTCAAGAAGAAGACTGTCGAGGAGTTTAGAGCCGCCAATCAGGTAAGAATTCACGTCACATAAGTTCGTCGGACTTGCGGCTTGAATTGAAGTAGTTTCTATTATTTAGTTCCTTCAATACTTCCACCACAAAATGTTGTTCAATAAAAATAGATGTTTTTTCGAAAAATAATAGATATTTCTTTTAGAAGACATTTTGAAGTTGGAATGTTACCATCAGAGACGTATAACTTAATAGGAAAATTTGTTTGGTGGTCCATTTTAATTACATATATGACTTTCTTTCTCTTTTACATTGATCTTTACATATATTTATCTCTCTCCAATAAAACTAACACCAATCCTAGAGGTTGCTGGTTTTTTGACATAGACATATAGATTAGAACTGACAACTGACAATGTTATGAATGTTGTTATGAACTTGTGCATTTTATTTAAATTAATTTCATTTGGGCCCCGTTTATTTCTTTGAGTCTGATTTTGTTGTTTAATTAATTTTCTTTGGGGGGAGGGGGGGGGGGGGGGATTGTTTATTTTTGCATATTATTTTTTGCATGAAGCAATTTCTGGAACCAAACTCGCGTTTTTGTACACGTTTCTTTCTAGAAGTAAGTAATTTCCAATTTATTAAGAAAACCACTATATAATGTGTGTGTTTAATAATATATTACAAAATGGCTATAATTATTTTAGGTGAATTGGAACAGAGATCCATTGTTACAGCTACTTTTGTTCATTAAGTAGGTAGATGAATGTCTCGACAGCTTTAATGGCAGCACAAAGTTCCCACCTACTAGAAAAGAAGTAAAATGTATGCTGAGTAAAAAATCTGCATATGTAGTATTGGCAAACGACTTTTGAAATGATTAGAGATGGGCTATTTCTTACATACATCTACCTCTAATAGCCACTCGAGTGGCTATTAGAAGATTGTAGAGTCATTTAAACGAAGAAAAAAAATTGAATCACAAAAGGGCAGAATTTTAATTCAGGATACATTGGAAAATAAATTTGTGGACATCAGGTCGGTTTTCGATTTTAGAGAGAGATCAATCTCAAGAAAAGTTAATTTATCCTGCAGAACAACCAGTAGTTTAAGTAGGATCTGCTATAACTTTATTAGAAGATTTCGTTGATAATAAATTGTAATATACCAATTGTTTCAAATGAAATTGAAAAAGAGTTAAATTCGAAATTAGATTTTTCATGGGTAAAATGTTATATTCATTCAAACATTGTAAGGTAATCTATAACTAAGGGAGTATGGAAAATAGGTATATCCTTGTAAGGGACAATGACAAAAAAAATACAAAAATGTATTCATCTTTAAATAGTGTTTATTATTATTAATATTATTATTTGCTATGTTTGAAAAGTACCTCCTGCTGCAGAGCAGATCGAATAGATTAGACTAGTTGGAGAGAAGGTCCACCTAATTACCAAATTAGGAGACTAGGAAAACTTTTACATAACTGGGGACAACAGGAATTCACAAGATACACGAACAGACGACATAACAGGGGTAAGCCTTCAGCAACGTCCTGTTTAAATGATGATAGTATGTCATCCTTCATTCCGTTTTAGAAGGCATGGCATATAAATCTATTGATCTTGATGACTCTAAGAGGAGTTAGCAGGGGGGTGTACGGAATAGGTCTAGCAGGTTTTGATCCAGTTTACAGGATGGGACCTTACTCGACTCGGGCCTTATACATTTGTGTGAGTGTATGTGTGTTTCGTTTTCATGGTTTCTATTAAAATAAACACTTATAACATATTAATGCCTTTTTGCCAGACTAACGTAAGCGACATTTGTTCAAATAGCACTTATGATAGTCTGGCAAAAAGTTATCGATATACTCTATACTTTATAAAATATTTGTTATAATATTTTTTAAATATATTATGAGTATATAACAACTGTGACTTTCTTTGTATATTGTCACAAAATGATACAAGGTACTTTCTAAACGTAGCAATTGTAGTTTGTTTTTCTGTATCTTACAAAAATATAATTTATAGAAAAAGAGTTTGGTGTATTATTTTTCCAAGTTTAAATATTTAATAATCAATAGAATTTTCAATTTTGTTTAGTAAAATTTACAAGAATAATAAAAAATATGTTCAAGAGTAATAAAAACTATGTTCACTGCTTAAATTAAACTGATTAAAACTTCCTTTGTTAAAATGATTATTTATATGTTAAAAAATTTGATGTTATTAGAAGCTTATATTTTTTAATATACAGTGAAACAATAGTTTTTGTTTGTCCTGTAAATTTGTATAGAAAAACTATTTCTGAATCCATGTTTGAATTTCCCGCCCTAAAGAATTTAAATTTTCCCGCTATTTACTAGTGGCGCCATCATAGACTGGTTTTGGTTACAATCGCCCAAACAACTTTTACCGAACAAGAAAAATACATTGAGTTACACGTCTTCGCTGGGTTGTCTCTGGTACCATCTACCAGTTTACATAGCAGGATTTTTAAAAACTGTATTTCAAAGGAGTAAATTGTTTTACCTACACTAAATACATTAGGTTACCAGTTATACCAGACGTTTCAGTATATTTTTCCACCTCACTACATTTTTCCACATTTTCAGTACCTGTATCTTCTGAATCAACTAAAAAATGTTATAAATACGTGACTTGAAGACCATACAAATAATAATTTGTTTGAAAATCGAGTTCAAATGTTGGTTACAGTAGATGTAATTGATGCTTCAATTAGGTCAGAAAATATATGCTATCAATTACATTTCATTAAATAAAAAACATTCTATTTAATGTCCTTTATTTAAACTTTTTAATAAATCTCCAGCTGTTTCGATAACAACATATAAAAACAAACTGCAAGAAACTTGTTTATCAAAATTACTTGAAAAGATACAATAAACAATATCATAATTATCATCCTGCACCTACATCCCTACACCGTACTATCAGCAGTGTGTTCCATTTAAAATTTTATCGAGGATTTCTAGAAGGTTCATAAAAAATGGGACACACTGTACATACATAGGCATATATTTCATTTAGTTAAATCTAGAAATAAACAGACATACATCTAATTAAAACTGAAACCATACATATCTACAATTGCTCTTTCTTTGACGGAAATAATTATTTTCTTCTATGTACTCTTGATCTATTTACTTGTTCCATTAATAAACTGTATTTTCCCATACATCTTACAAGAAAGTACAACATATAATTTTTAATGTCAATTTATGGAAAAGTGATTTCATTACTTATATCATTCAGGGATCTTAAAAAGCTTGACAAAGTTTCAATTGCTGCCTTCTTCTTTGCTTTTCTATCTATTGTCAATAATTTTCAAATTTCTTCTCTCTAATAAAGTTTTCAATTTCTTCATTATATTCCTCTTTATTGTCTGATAACTTTTCCGCTGAAAGTAATTTGGCAATAACACCTAAAACATATTTGCTTCCCTTCGTTGTGGTTTATCTCCAAATCGGTTTCTAGTTTATTAAATAATATCAACTCATTTCCAGAACACTGGACAAATAATATTTGATTTATTATCATGGAAATCATCTTACTGGTTGTGAATGTTTTTTATAAGTGTATTCTTGAATGAAACGTTGCTTCAAAAGTGACACAACTCAAAATTAACATCTGTGTAGTTAATACCTTGAATATAGTTAACTTTACTTGACTAGATGGCGCCTGTGGCATTTTGAAGGTTTTGATGTAGGGTCGTTTTTAATAATCCCATTCATGGTATATGGACTTGAATTTTGAATTGGGTCACGTTTGAAACAAGGGTGCTATTTCGATATCAAAAACTTGGGTTTCCATACTTGATATTTTTTGCAAAATAAATCAAAAATTGTCTCAAAAATCAAAGAGGCACTTCAAAAATAACATGCTCTCACAACGGCCCAAGACAAAAGTCTGGTAAAAAGGCGCAAACAACAGCACTTTAGTTCCTTCTGCGTTACGGCTGTTTACCGACCACATTCACAAATTGCACATATAGATTCCGAGGTTGACGTGATTTTTAATGTTACTGTTGTGTATGTTTTTGAAAGAATATGACTGGACTATTAATTATTTAACGCGTTCAAAGAGTGCGAGTTGTCACACATGACATAGAGCATGGAACCAAACCCACAACCTATGTATGTTTTTGTTTTATCGTTGTTGTTAAGTTAGTTGTCTTTTTATGAATGAAAGAAAAGGTTCTGTCAAAAAAGGAGAATAAAGTTTCATATAATTTTATTGCGTTATTTATACACAAATATAAAAGTGGTGTCAGAAGTGGGATCGAGAGTATATAGTGTTCCTGCACCAACTTAGTGATCACCAACGATGCCAGCCACTCCGACAGTTACTCCTGAACTACTTCAGACTTTCTCCAGCATGATAGCTAACGCAATCCAAGCCTCCACGACTAATGTTACCACAGAAGCCGCTGTCACAGCAGCATTGCCGCGCCCGCCTCCGTTCACCATGGGATCGTATCGTTCCACCGATGGAACCATGATCAGCGACTATTTCATGCGCTTCTCCTGGGCACTTGAGCTGAGCAAAATTCCAGAAGACAAACACGCAAGTTACGCACGTGTCTATATGGGGCCCGAGCTTAATGACGCACTGAAGTTTTTGGTGAGTCCTGTTGATCCAGAAACACTTACTTACAATGAAATAAGATCGAAACTGATACGCCACTTCGATTCAACTCGAAATAAATTCGCCGAAAGTATAAAGTTTCGACAGATCAGACAAAATAAAGGGGAAACTATTGCCAACTTCTCGTTGAGGTTAAGGCAGGCCGCCGTGTATTGCGAATATGATACATTTCTCGACCGGATGTTGATAGAACAACTACTATTGGGTCTGGAATCTCGAGAAATTTGTGACGAAATAATTTCGAAGAAACCGACATCATTCACAGACGCGTACGAAATTGCACATGCGCTGGAAGTCATGCGCAATACAGCAGATGAGGTAAATACCACACAAGCGAAGACCGAGCTTACAAACAAAATTGGATACGAGAAACCGCTATCGCG